ATAAGACTTCCCCAGATAATAAGGCCAATCTGGATTTTGAGTGCAAGCCTAAAATAAACCCTCCACAAAAAAAGCTCTTCCTGAAAATATTGCAACACAGCAGCAGCCATAAGGTGACCACGCTCACCGCCTCCTACACCTCAAAACTAATAAGACCTCCCTGAAAATAAGGCCAAGCGCTTATTTCGGGGGTTAAAAGAAAATAAGACCCTGTCTTATTTTTGGGGAAACATGGGAGTGGTTTAAATATTTTTATTGCACATAAATATGTAGCTTTGGATCATTTTCATCAATAAATAAATAAAATAAAGAGCAAATAAAATATTTTGATTCATTTGTTTAATTGGGTTCCCTTTATCTAATGTTAGTACTTGTGCAGAGTACAGATCATGTTTTAAGTCATATTTATGCAGAAATATTGAAAATTCAAAAGGATTCACAAACCTCTACAACACCTACACATATTCAACAGGTCATTTCGATTGATGTATATTCTCACAGTGTGAAAAAATACCTTGCTGGAGAAAATGAAACATTATTAATTATCCAATGCAGGATAAACATATGGTAGTCATATGTCATCTTCCACTGGTGATCATTTCTGTCCACAGATTTGGTTAGAAATTTTGAAATTACTCCTTCAGCTGTGATTAAAAAGTGATGAGGAAAAGATACATCCCTCAGCGAAAAAGACGTATTATCAGGCTTTGGACCCAATGTGGCTGCTCAGCCTTGCTTCTCCACATTATGAATCCCGTATTTTTGGCAGAAGATTCATACCCCAATCTACCTGACAGAGGTGTTGCTGTAGGGATAAAATGAAAAATACCTCCGTAGAGATATTTTTTCCTCATTTTCCTTGAGCTCCTATAGAACAGGTGAAAGATAAACGCAGTAATAAATAAAACAAGATATTTTTGACAGGATCATCCAACTAAAAAGTAGAAATATAGCATTTACCTGAAAATGTCTGCAAGCTCTTTTGCTCCGATACCTTTAAGAATATCCTGAATGATGGTGGGATTACTGGCTTCTGAAGATGTAGGTAAAGGTGGGCATTGTGCATGTGCATAGTAGCCTATCAAAATCCCCAAAATAAATAAACTCGTAGCAGTGCAAAATAGTTTAAATATCCAGCAAAAGCTGCAGCAATTGGTCTTTGGTGGATGCTGTGTCCGGTGAGAAATATAATCCAGATCTTCCTGGAGTCTTTCAAACCTTCCTTTGGGAGATGCTGACGGTTGAATGGACTCCATGTCAGCATTCTGACTACTCTCCATTGATTGATGGACTGCTCCATCCAATGTAAAATGGTCAAAGCTCAGCTCTTCCTCCAGTTCTTTCTCCATGTCCCATTCTAACTCCAGGGAAGTGGCTTGAAGGTCTTCACTATCTAAATACTGTGCATTCTGATCTCCATGGACTTTTTGGTAAGCCATCCTTTTACCAGGTTGCATTAAATAGGTATAAATATAAGGTCTGCAAACTAAGATGAAAGCTTGAAGAAGCGGGATATGTTCAGCCTTGAGAAGAAAAGACCAAGGAAGAAGAATAGAATAGCCATATTCAAATCCCTGGAAAAAAATGACACAGACAAAGATCAAAACAAGATTAACAATAACAATAATAATAATAATGTCCCGATTGTAATTGGAGCCCTTGGAGCAATACCTAAAGGGCTACTTCGCTATTTGGAAATTCTAAATTTATCTGACTTGAACATTCTGACTCTATTAAAAAAAACACCCTACTTGGAACAACTTACATCCTCCAACGTTA